GTTGAATGTGAGGCTTGACGAAGTGATAAAGGAGTGGAGAGTGAACCAAATAATCTGGCAGGCTGCTTCGCTACACAATTCTGATTACATCGCCAAACGACCGTTAACCAAAAGAGGAGATTTGATTATACGTGATCACCGACTAACCAATCAGAAAATATTTGTTGTGATTGTTTTTTGTGTGAGAACCAAAAACGTACCAAAAAATATAAGGATCGTGCCACAAGAGCAGAGGAAACACGCGCCATAAGAGCAGAGAAAAATCATGCCACATGGACAAAGATACTTGTTAAAAATTAAAAAGATTCAAGAAAAAAAATAAATACATAATATAAAAAATAAGAGAACTAATATTCCCCAGCGGTCGACAACAAACATAATAATGTTAATGTATATTGAACATCAATTAAATTAAAAAACAAAAAGAATATTATTTTTTGCAAGACATACAAAAGTGTCATTAAAATAAGAAAATGTTTCGCGGTATTTAAGGCCTAAAACTTAAAAAAACTAATGAAGTTTGTATTTTTGTTGTTGCACTAAACATGACCTTAATGTGAGAAAATAATCTAACCTTTTGATTAACAAAATAAAACGTTGATTGTCATGACGCTTACGTAATACTTTACAAAGCTTATATGGTCTATAATATTACTGTGATAGTTGATGATGTTGTTTGTGATAGTACACGATGGACAATAATATGATATATTGACTTAATTGGTTTTTTGGCTAAGTGAAAGGGTCTAATTAGTTTTTTTAAAAATGTTTTGAGGATTTATTTAATTTTAAAAAAATTAAGAAATTATTAAAATTTAAAATATAAAACATTAACAATTATTAAGATATTCATACATTAAATATGAAAAATAATACAAAAATAAATTATTAAAAAAATTAATTTAAGGAGTATAAAAAAATTAGGGACCATATTGTTATTCTGTAAAATTTGAGGGTTCTCGATACCATTATGACAAAAAATTTATCGTTAGAATGGTTTGAACTTATATAAGGTAACTTAAAAACCTAGATCTTTTGTTTCCTAGTTTTCAATTTTTCAAAATAATTTTAATAAAAATACTGAAAATATCTTTTTTATGTTTTTATATTTTCACTTATTTCTGTTTTTATTATCCAAACTTTTTTTTCTAATTTTACAACCAAACACATTGTCTTCAATATTTTCTATTTTCTAAGAAAATGAAAATAGACTATATTTTCTATAACCAAACGGACCCTAAGATCCCTTTGGGATTCGAAATCTATCAGGTGCCGGTATATTCGGAAAATTTTAAAATATATATAAAAAAAAGATAAGGTTATTCACAATATCTATCTCCCAAAAAATTTGTCGTTGTTTTACATACTATTGGTATTTTTCTAGTGTACTTATAGGCCTCGGGTGGTTACACAGCAGACAAGAACTGTGGTTTGTTAATTTATTTAAAAAGATATGAAGTTACTAATCTCATCACTTCGAAACGATGTAGAGTGTCCTCTACTTTCGATAGTGTTGTTGGGGCATCTTGGAAAACTAAAAAGATATCGACGGAGGCTGTAGGACAGCCCCGCCAGACGTCATGCATCTGTTATGTTGGAACTGTCGTTGAATCTTAAATACTGCGACAGTTCAGTGCCTTCGGTGCTCGCCAATCGTTCTATGTCTATCATTTTCTAATGTTAAACTATGTTAAAGAATAATAAAAGTGATATTGTTCGTAATCGTTTAGGTGTGCAGAATTGTTTTGCAGTAGATTGGGATAGCTAATGTACCATGCTTATGCTGATTTGGAACAATGAAATAAATGTTGATCTTTTGTCTTACTCGTCGAATCATATTGATATCATAGTGTATAGTGAACAAAACTATTTTCGGTTCATTGATCTTTACTACATATCCAATTCCAATCAAAAAGGAAACTTGGACCTTGCTTAATAACTTACGAAACGCTTCTCCTCTGCCATGCGTAGTTGGAGGGGATTTTAATGAGGTGCTAAGTGGTAATGAAAAGAGTGGAGGCAGACGTAAACAACGTACTCACATTGATAACTTTGGAGATGCGTTAAATTGTAATGGTCTTGTCGATATAAGGTCGTCGAAAGGGTAGTTCACTGTATGAGGCTCGATATGGTACTCATATTGATAAATGTTTGGATAGATTTATTGCCTCTAAAAGTTGGCTACAACGTTACCCACAGGATAAAGTGGTTTCAAAATTTATGGATCAGTCTGACCATTATTTTCTCTCACTAAATACAAACTGGAACTATTATAATCATGATTCATATGCTCTGTGTGACTATTTTCGTTTCAAACATAGTTAGGCGTCTTAAAAGGCTTGTAGATCGAAGGTACAAGCAGGGCCGATTCAATGAATTTTAATACCCTGGGAGAAATAATAATTTTATGCCCTTTCATCGATGATTATGCACCGCCTGCATCGAGAAGACCATCCAACTTCCATTAATTTTTTTGGATTTTCGAAGGAAGAATTGATTAAGCTCCTTACAATTCTGCTCATAAGCAACACCAAACAAGAAAAGAGAAACAGTATTTTCATCTAAGCATCCAATTTTCCATATGGAATAGCTCTGCCCGATTGAACTAGTCTTTGGAGTCCCTTTTCAGTCAACACTCCTATGGTTGCCCAACAACCGTAAAGCGTGTCTCCTTTCAACAAATTCCTGCAAAGAGTTCAAAAATATATTGTCATCTACCTGATGAGGTGTATGTATAGCAATGCTTTATCAAGGCCCTAGCAAGTAATAAATATGGGTAAGCCAAACTTGAAGGGAACTTAAATATATATATATATATATTTATATCAATAAAACCATAATTGACAAGCAAGAGTATAATTGCATACTTTATAGTTGATAGTCGAACAAATCGAATATCCGACAATCGCTCACTGAGTTCTGCAGGAGTGACCAATTGCTTCTTATTAAACAGAAGAAAATGTAACAATCAGGGCTTTGCTATTTGCCACTTGCCACTTAAGGATTAGTGGAATGTAAGTTGAAGTGTTTGAACTTGGTCTTACCGTACAAGATGCTTGGGTGACAACGAATGTCACTGCTTTAAACAAAACTGATGTTGTAGGTGAGTCCTTACACGAGTGGCAAAGGATCGTGCCAAGATTAATAAAGCTCAGACCAAAGGATTGCGGAAACAAATTAACGAAGGCTTTAATGCACGTTCAAGTGATCGTCAAATGGTTAAGCTACGTGTTGCTAAGATTGAACTTAAACATCTTTTGGATAAAGAGGAGCAATATTGGGCTCTACGTTTTAATGCCTTGGCCATGGTGATGATAATACGAGTTTTTTCCATAAGCATTCTACCCAATGGCAGAAAAAGAATCATATTAGCGGCTTATTTGATGATGTTGGTCTATGGATAACTAGAATACACGATATGAAGACGACCATTGTTGAGTATTTCCAGTAACTCTTAACCTCATCCAACCTTTTATCCAATGATCGAGATGTAATTGAAGAAGTTATAACACCAGACATAAATGTTAGTTTATGTAAACCGTTTACCCCGAAAGAGGTTATATACGCATTCAAAGACACTAATCCTTGAAAGGCACTGAGACCTGACAGTCTTCCAGCTAGCTTTTTCGATTGTATTAGAACCTTATTGGAGAGGACGTGGTTGATATTTGTCTACAACTTCTCCGACGTGAGATGGGTATCTCCTTGCTGAATCAAACAGTACTAATGCTATTTCATAAAGTCGAGGAACCCAGGCATATAAAACAGATACGACCAATCAGCCTATGCAATGTGATTTACAAGATCATATTCAAGGTACTGGTTAACTGCTTAAAGGAATATATGCAATTATGCATAAGTGATAATCAAGCAGCTTTCCTCCAGGGACGACAGATCTCTGATAATATTCTAGTAGTCCACGAGCTATTACATTACATGAATTCTGTAAAGAATGGAATAAACATAGGAGTCACGTTGATACTAGATATTGAAAAAGCATATGATAGGGTGGAATCGAGCTTTCTACGAGGGATGGTGACTAAACAAGGTTTCAGTTCTGGTTTCCATTGATTTGATAATGTAGTGTGTCACAACGGTCACATTCTCGGCTCAGGTCAATGGCTCTCTCACCCATGAATTCACCCCCTTTAAGGGGTTTAACACAAGAGGACCCGTTATCACCTTTTCTCTTTTTGTTTTTAAGTTAATGTTTGTCTTCTCTATTTCATAAAGCACAACTTGATTGCTTTATGTGTCCGTATCTGGCTAATGTGTGAATCTGGATAAAGTTGTCAAATATTTTAGTCCACAAATTATTAGAGGGAATCATAATCAAATAGTGAATATTCTAGGTATTCAGGCAATTGATTGCTTTGGTCATTATTTGGAACACCCGCTTTACATATGTAAAAATAAAACTCGTACGTTTCGATATCTGTGGGATAAGGTTCATGCACAAGTTATAGAATGGACATAGCAATTGTTATCTTACGAGGGTAGGGAAGTATTCCTTAAATCTGTTGCTCAAGATTTACCGCAATATGCAATGTCTTGTTATCTACTCCCTGAGCACTTGCTTAATACGATCTCTGGTATCATACGACGTTTTTGGTGGACCAGAAAGATTCCTGAGCAATGTTGGCCAATGTTTTCATGATCTACGGTCATTTAACTTGGCAATGTTTGGTAAACAAGCATGGCGATTAATTCAATACTCAGATTGCTTGTTGGAACGGGTATAGAAAGCGAAGTATTGTTGAAATAGTGATATACTTGGCACTTCTATTGGTAACAAAAGCTCCTATACGAGGAAAGGTATTCACAAAACCATTCAGGCTTTTTCAGGTGCACTATATTGGAGAGTTGGACAGGATAGCTACATCCATATAACTAAGGATAAATTGGGTGGGTCAAAGTTAGTTTCCCTTACTAGAAATTACTCATATATTCCCATGCAATAGTTATATGTATAGTTTTTCATGCACATTTGAACTTCTAACTAGAACGAGTCAAAGGTATATCATATTTTTAACGTCATTGACTCTGACTTGATTTTTTCGACCTCTATTGCTCCAATCCAAAGGGAAGTCATCATATGGGATAATCATGATTCCGGTATATACTCTATCTATTTGGATTACTGGTGGCATCAACATCCCAATCATTATCCGACGTCTACTTTCAGAGTCTAGAAAATAGTTGTTAAACTACAGATCCTGTCTAAGATTAAGATCTTTTCTTGGAGTGTGGCTCATGGTGGATTACCTGTTGGTAAGTGGTTACGTGAAACTGGCTTAAGTGATGGTTTTTACCCAATGTGTGGATTGGAAGAAGATATAGTAGTTCATATTTTACGGGATTTCTCTTATTACCAATAAACTTTTATTTGTGTAGGTATGCAGGGTACGTTCTTGTCTAATCAACTTATTTTTCCATTGGATTGGTTAGACTTGGTGATTATTAACTTGGATCTATATGGCCTTGCTTGCTTTCTTGTATTACTTTGGAACCTCTGGAATGGGAGGAATTTCATGGTGCATGATAACAAGATTCAGCCCCCATGGATACTGGCCACTAATGTTGCCTCCCTTCAGCATGACTACCTATTAGCCATGAACAAGGTGTCGGGGAGATCGAAGACTTTGCAATCTTCTCCAGGAGAATCTTCATGTATTGATCTTGCATAGTGGCAACCTCCCGCTCCATGTTATGTGAAGGTCAATCTTGATGGTTCTTTTGAGCCTACTGGGTGTCTAGCGGCTATGGGGGTTATTGCCTGAGGTTTCGTCAGCCAAGTACTTGACAACATGGCTGCATCGTCACCAGGATGTGTCGAAGGTAGACTTTTGGAGATTCATGCTCTGAATGCAATGCTTTCTTTGGCAAGTGAGTATAGGTGGATGCATGTAATATTTGAATTGGACTCAACGCTTGTAGTCAACAAGATGTCTAGACTGGATGAGGACTTGTTCACGTTGGGCTATCATCTTCGGGAGCTCGTAAGATTTTAAATACTAATTTACATTACAAAGTGTGTTTTGTTCCTATAGTTTATAATATTGTGGCACATACTTTGGCTAAGTGGGCTCTATGTTTTGGAAATGTTTTGTATTTTGACTCGGTTTTTCCTAAGATTATTACATCGCTGTATCAATTGATTATTCTTCTGGTAATACAAGGTCCTAGGGCACTCTTTCCCCTTATAGGTCTTAGAAGGATTTTTAAGTAGGCTCGTATCTTAAAAAAAGAAGGAAAAAAAACAACAACAATCATTATATCAAAGCAACTGCATCAATGAATATCACCTATATAATACCGACTAATAAATCTGTAGTTGAAATTAAATAATTTGTTCCCGCCTAAATTGCTATCTTGGGACTGAAGCATGGAGTATAACTCTCTCCTCAACTCAACCCAATAGTTGCGATTCTGAGTTTTAGAGAGTAAATGCAACTCAATTTTTAGTATATTTATACTCGTGACTTCAAAATTGTCATATTGTTTGATGGATCTAACTTTTTTCTGATGTAGAAAATGAGAAATCTTTCATTTTCTAGAACCTGACTTTTTCCACACTCGATGTGGTATATTTGCTTTGTGATATACTAAAAGTTTATCACTGTCAATGTATGCTCTTCATTCTTGATAATCGAATTTGAATATCTGTCATTGCGTTCAATATTAGGTGATGTTATGATTCTCCTTTACCGATTCTTATTTGTCCATTGCATTTGACATTTATTGCTAGTCCATTTTGTTTCAACATATATTACGATATATGGTTTTTTACGTTTGCTTAAACAATGGCATGGTTTCTAGATTTTTGAGAAGTACATTATTGTTGCGAATATGGAACATTGGGTGTAGGTCTGTCGCACAAGATCTTGGGAGACAATGTATGGGGAATCAAAAGGCTTGGGCTCGATACATGACTTACAAGCGTTTAGACGCCACAAGAACAAAGAATTATATCCTGGATCTGTATGACTGCACTACTGATGTTATATAGTTTAATGAAACTGTAGATAACCACTTGCCAATGGAAAGGGGCTGACGGTGATCCGAAAGTATTATGAAGGTAAGCAATTGATGGGAAACCTTAGGATCCTTTGCACTCCGTTACATAACTATCACAATCAACCCTTAGGTGAAGTTCATTATAAATTGGGTCTATGGTTGCTAGTGTTTAAACGATTTGGTTACTAGCCTCACATGTTTGTTCATTGTTGTCATGAATGTTGTTATAATGGATTATTCCTTTTATTATGCACTACTTTTGTTTTTTTTTTTTTGGAATACTATCCTTGTATTCTTGACAAGGATGAGTATCTCTTTGGCCATCACAATCTCTATGTGGATGAGTTGATGCAATGAAATTGTCTATGGTTTTGGATAATTCAAGTCATTTGGTTTAGTATATCTCTAGTTTGAAGGAAAGGCTAAATAAAACTTGGAATGGAGATTTATTTTCATATTGCACGAATGAAAATGGAGGGTCTTGGTGTCACAACGGATCCTCGGGTGGTCCCGGGAACTTTCAAGGGTACCCGAGAGACTCTTCTGCTATGAAGGCACATGATTTGGTAACAAATCTGAAAGACAATCGTTTTCAAGACCTTGATGAGGAGGATAAGTCTCAAAAAATGGAAGAAAAAAAATAAGATAATTAGAGGACCAGATGAAGACTGTCAAAGGGGAGGATGATTTCTACGGAATTGATGCCATGGAACTAAGCCTGGTCCCAGACCTGACGCTGCCTCCAAAGTTCAAAGTCTTGGACTTTGAAATTTTTTATGGGAATAGTTTCCCTTCTGCTCATATAACCATGTTTTTCCGGAAGATGACGGGGTATGTTGGAAATGACCAACTCCTGATCCAGTACTTCTAGGAAAGCTTATCAGGTTCAATTATCCGATGGTACAATCAACTAAATAGGTATCATTTCTGAACTTGGAGGATTTGACTAAGTCATTCCTCAAGTAATACAAGCAAATAAACAAGATCAGGCAAAATAAGGTAATGCTGCAAGGGATAGAGAAAAAGGCTAATGAAAGTTTTTGACAGTATGTACAAAGATTGAAAGACGTAACCGTACAGGTTCATCCTTCCTTGAATGAAAGAGATATGAGGAAGCTATACGTGTACACCTTGAAGACTCCCTTCTTCGGGCATTTGGTTGCAATTACCTCTAGGAGCTTTACCGATATTATAATGGTCGATGAAATGATAAAAATGGCCATAAAACAAGGAAAGATCGAGGGAAGTGAGTCCCACAAGAGGCCATCCTCAAGGAATAAAGAAGGAGAGGTCAACAACGTTAGTGTTATTTCTAGGAAGGGCGTCACTGTTTCACAACCAAATGCAAGGACGACTACAGTGTCAAATCCTCCAAGGTAATTTGACTTTTTTTTCATGACATATCAAGAGTTGTTTCAACAATTATATGATACACATATGGCATTGCCCTATCCAACGATCCCCTAAAACCATCGTATCCTAGGTGGTATGATGAGAGCGCACATTGTGAATACCATGGTGGCATCTTGGGGCATTCCATCGAAAATGCCCCACATTCAAGAGAATGGTCCAGAAGTTGTGAGACAAAAATCACATCCACTTCAACAATTCAAAAAATGCCAGTGCTGCACAAGATCCTAATCACGGGGAAACAAAGAGTTAATGCCACAACCGAGGAACTAGGCATCTTAGGACAAAATAATAAGACGTCCTCGCCAACTTACCATGGGGCTGTGATACCTAAAGAATAATATGTTTTGTTTAAAGTTGACTTTTATATATGAAAATTTTAATTATTAATACGAGCAATTAAGCATTTCTGAAATTCAGTGAATATCAAATGCAATGAAATGCACATTTTAGAATATAGGTTATAGCATTTTGAAAAATGACGAGATCAAATTCCTTAAAAAATAAGATCCATATCTTTTACCCAAAAAAACAAATAAAGGTAACATTACTCACACACAATAAAGCATCAAATACTTAGGCAATTATGGAAGTGGACAATATGAGGCATCTTCGATGATGACGTTGCAAGACTAGTGTAACACCTATCTCATGTATACCCTTCCGTATACGAGATACGAATGTCCCATCACTTTTAAAATATTTTTTCATTTGAAAAACCGTAGAATTTTGTTTCAATTTTTAACAACCTCAAAGTATGATATTCATATAATCAAAATACTAAAACTATCAATTTAAATACATTACAAAATATTTAATTTAGTTTCATTACATGCCAACTAAGTTTTCAAAAGGAATAAGATTGTCCTAACATAACTAACGAGTCAACCTTAATTGATGATCGCTGTTGCTACTGTTGTACTCCTTACGCAACTATTCTTTGCCTTTACCTACGCTTGAAATCAACATACGTCAAGTATTTTCTTAGTGAGACATAATACTGCAAAGATATCAAACTTTATTCATAAATATCTTATGAATTCTGAATGACGATTTAATTTGCAAAAATCCAAAATGACCAGATAAGCCCTTCTCAGTTACACCATAATTCTTTCAATAAGTCATCCAAATTATTCTTAGTAGGCCCAACCTATCTATCCTTCTATATATTTTTCCTCAATTATTCTTTATTTGCACGGTCTATGTTAAATTAGAACGTATTATACATGTATTGCACCACAATGTCAATTAATCATGTATCTTTTATAATCAATATGGGTGAAATCTTAACTACTGTTAACACACCATTTTGTATTTTCATTTGGGCATCCTTTCATACCCATTATATATTGTTTACGTTTTTCCTTTATGACATCCATTCATACAAATTATGCATTGTTGTACATTTTATATCCATATGACATCCTTTCATACCACTAATGCACCGTTTATATCCAAATGCAATATAATTCCTTTAGTCTTTTACCCAAAGGCATTTAACCTTTCGTCTAACTTGCATGATTGAAACTTTTCTGCCAAATGCACAACTAGGCCATTTATCTTTTACTCAACGGTATTTAACC